TGAGGGTCACTGAGAGGCAGCCTGGGTACAGAGCGTTTCTCAGGGCCTATAAACACTAAATCTCACAGGGCCCTGACTCCTAGGCCGGTGCTCTTTTCATACAACAATTGGCATCAGTGAAGTACTTTAAAGTTTGCAAAACACCTTCCTTACATTATCTCACTGTAGCCTGGCTAGGATACTAGGAGGTTGGTACAACAGCCTCTTCTCCATTTTACAGATGAGGAAACTGAGGCTCAGAGAGGCTACAACTTGCTCACAGTCACACAGCTGGTATCCAAAGTAGGCTTTGAACCCAAATCATCCGCACTCCTGGTCTAATGCTGCTGGCCTATGCTACAACATGCCCCTCCCTCCTCTCCCCTCTCCTTCCAAGAAACCCAACTCAAACCATTGGAGGCCCCTAGGCTTTGGAAAGGCCCAGCCTCTGTTTGAAGCATGCCCCTGCCCACAGGGCCTGGCCCAAACTCAGCCTTCCACACAGCAATATGACTCCCCAGCGTGGTCAGCTGTCCTCTGCAGACATCTGCCAACATGAAATCTGTGAGCACTCCCAGAGTATCATAAACACAGCGTCTCGGTTGACCTGCCCTGAGGGAGTTTGTGCTTTGGGACTCTATGGGCTGGGCTGGATTGCCAGGAAAGCCCCACTTCCCCCAAGGGAGGGCCAGGCCTGAGGGGGCAGCTGCAAACTGGTCCATTGCTGAAGATGGAGAGTGTCCAGAAGAGTTTAGCAAGGATAGCTCTTTCAACACCTCCTTTGGGATGCGGCTGAATCCTTTTACACTCATAATTGCGTTCCTCTAGAGACCTTTCTGGGCAGCTGGGTCACTCAGTGGAGACTGCCAGGCCTGGAGTCAGGAAGACCTGAGTTCAAATCCAGCCTCAGACACTTTCTAGCTATGTGACCCTGGACAAGTTCCTTAACCCTGTTTGCCTCAGTTTCCTCATCTGTAAAATGAACCGGAGAAAGAAATCACAAACCACTCCAGTATCTTTGCCAAGAAAACCTCAAATGGGGCACAAAGACTCAAACACGACTGAAACAACTGAACAAAAAGAGACCTTTTTATAAGTGGGTTAACTCAGGCCCAGATAGAAGTGATTTGCTGCTTAAGGCAAGAGAAGATAGAGCACTGGGCCTGGAGTCAGGAGACTTGAGTTCAAATCCAGCCTCAGACACTTATTAGCTTTGTGACCCTGGGCAAGTAGCTTCTCTGCTGTTTGCCTCAGTTTCCCCAACTGTAAATGGGAACGATAATAATAGCACTTACCTCTCAGGATTGTTGTGAGGATCAAATGAGATAATATTTGTGGAGTGCTTAGCACAATGCCTCGCACTTAGTAGGTACTATATAAATGCTAGCTGTTATAATTTGACTTTCTAAGATCACATAGGTAAGTGGAAAGGTTGGTCTCCAAACCCAGGACATCTGACTCTAAAGATCTCACTGTACCATCCTTCTGACAACAATGGGACAGGGAAGGCCCAGAGAGAAAGGAGAGAATAACATCTATGTTCTGGGCAAATCAGGGGCTGCTTGCTGGCCAACTGGTGTGATCATGCTAGGTTATGTCACAGCATGGACACGTGATGTCCCCGAAGTGATGGCCGGACACTAGCTCCCATTCCTCTAGAACACTTAAAGGTTTGTAACTGTCAGATTATGTGATCTTCCCTTTATAGTGGATCAATCCCCTGGGGTATATGTGGTGTATTTGTGTTGTTACTATCCGGATACATTAGGGCAGCTAGGTGGCACCATAGTGGATAGAGCTCTAGGCTTGGACTCAGGAAGACCGGAATTCAAATGTGGCCTCAGACACTAGCTGTGTGGCCCTGGGCAAGTCACTTCACCCTGTTTGCCTCCGTTTCCTCATCTGTAACATGAGCTGGAGAAGTAAATGGCAAACCACCCCAGTATCTTTGCCAAGAAAACCCCAAATGGAGTCATGAAGAGTTGGACATAACTGAAAAATGACTGAAATCCAGATATGTTACTCAGGCATAGAGGTTCTTGGCATGATGGTGGAGGAAAGTGGAGCAGGAAACTGTAGTTTGGCATAGAGGAAAGAGCCCAGCCCTGGACAGCGTCCAAGTCCTGGCTATATCACCTTGTTGACCTTGGCCAAGCCACTTCTTTCTAAGCCTTAGTAGCCTTACCTGTAAAGTAAGAGGTTGGAGATGAATAATCTCCAAGAGCCCTTTCAGTCTGATATTCCATTGACTTAGGAGAACATTGGATTACCACTACCACGATCACCACTACCACTACCACCACCACTACTACTACTGCTACTACTACTACTATTACTGCAACTGTTGCTGCTGCTACTACTATTACTACTATTGTTGCTGCTGCTGCTACTAGTGCTACTGCTACTATTACTACTGTTGCTGCTGCTACTGCTGCTGCTACTACTACTACTACTACTACTACTACTACTAGCATCTCATTTGAGCCTCACAACAACCCTGAGTGGTAGGTTAGGGTTAGATTATTACCCCCATTTTACAAATGAAAAAACTGAGGCAGATACAGGTTAAATGACTTACCCAGGGTTACACAGCTAATATGTGTCTGAGGCTGGATTTGAATTCAGGTTTTCCCAGCTCCAGGTCCAGCCTCCTAGCCATCACTTTCCCCTAGCTGCCTCTAGATAATAACTAATATTTAGAGAGCTAAGGTTTGCAAAGTGCTTTATATATATAATTTATGTGATCACATAACAATGCCCTATGAGATCAATATGATTTTTAACCCCATTTCGCAGATGAAGAAATAGGCCCCGTGTCTTGCCTAGATTGTCAGAGACAGGATTAGAACTCAGATCTTGAAGGTGCCTTCCCTACTCTGTGATGTGGTGACTCAAGTAAAAGGCTGGGCCTTGCACCTCTGCTTATACCCACCTGTTCCCTCTGGCTGGCCAGGTGCTCTATGCGAGTTAGCCCTGCAGAATTGCCAAGCAAGCCTTTTCCTGGGTTCCATTCACCAGCTCTGAATTGTTCTTGACTTTCATCCAGGCTACCTGAGCCAGAGCACTTGGCTCTCTGGACCCTTTTTTTTGTGGGGGGGAGGGATTCCTCACTGAGTGCCCTCAGCTGCTACTTCCTCCCCCAGCTGTGGGGAGAGCATGAGTCATCCTGTCCGAAGTGAATCAGGAGGCACCCTAGAGGACAGTGCGTTCCCCTGGAGCCGGGTCACTGGGGGTTTCCAAAGCTCCTGAATCTATCCAAACACCTGACGCCCTGGGCTTTGGGAAGGACCACCCATCCTCTTCCTCCACCACCTCTAGGGCTTGGCCAGAGCTCCACCTCGCACACGGTCCCTCCGCCCAAGTTCCTAGGCTTCTGGTAGTGCAGCTGCTAGAGAAAGATATTTATAGCCTGGGCAAGATGAGACAGAGCCTAGGCCCCTCAATTTCCAAAGTGATTCCAGCAGCCCCACCCCAGGAGAATTGTGATGAGGTGGGATGAGGTGTGAAATGCAGTGAGGAAATTTAAACTCATCCCTCCCTGGACCAGGTCAAGGCTAGACTGAATAGGCCAAGGTTCAGGCCTCAGGGACCCAGCAGCTGATGGGGCCAGGGAAATATTAATCAGATGCTGATAGCTGGCCAAAACAAGAATGTCCCTCTAGCTCTCTTAAATGTCACCAGACAGAAAGGTAGGAGGCCTGAATGGGAAGATTCCTGTTGCTAATTTATGGGACCGCTTTTAGCACCCTAGGATTTAGAGCTGGATGAGACCTCAGAGATATTTGAGTCTATCTTCCCTCCCTACTCCACTTCCCCACCCCATTTAACAGATAAGGAAATGGAAGCCCAGCAAGTAAAGGGTTGTGCCTTGGAGACAGTTAGTGGAGCCAGAATTCAAATCCAGTTCTTCTGACGCTCCTACCTCTCTCCCTTCCCCCGACTCAGTTTTCTCATATGTTAAAATGAGAGGCTTGGTTGAGATGATCTCTAAGATCTTTCCCAGATCTAAGGGAGAGGGGGTCTGTAATAGAAGGACTAGGAAGGTCCTGCTACTTCTTTAGTGATGTGTCCAAGTCACTATGCCTTCCAGAGCCTCAGTTTCCACCTTTATAAAATGGGGGTACTCATCCACTATGTAAGGAAAAGGCTTTGCAAATTGTGGTCACTGCCACATGGCAAATGGGACTTTGTCTCAGGGTGACCACTGTCCCCACAATCAGCTTCACAGTCCTCCAGTGACATGGGTTGCAAATGTTCTTAGCCATCATCCCTAGGGAGACCCTCCTCCAGGGTTCACCTGTCAAAGAGACTGAGGTCCCAGTGGGGTTGTCCTCAGTGCTTCCGTGTCTCCCCTCCATACCCACCCCCTGTAACACACACACACACACACACACACACACACACACACACACACACACACCACACCTGAATTTGCCCCAGGCAGTTTGGACTGGTTACAACTTGGTATACAAGTTATGCAGAGTGATTTTCTTAAGGGTGACTGATTCTCTCTGGCCCCACCAGACTGCTCTTCTGCTCCCATTTCCTTTCCCAGCTCTGCTTTAGCTGGTCCCACTCCTGATGGGGAAGGGTGATAAAACACAACCCTCCAGGCTGTCCAGCTGCCCAACTAAACAAGGGAACCCAGGACAGGTTAAGAAGCCGACACAGGTGGCCTGGTGCTGCTCTCTGGTGGGGCTAGGAAGGATTGCAGGGAGGGTGTTCGATTGAGGACTTCAAGACCTAGTGAGTGGTTAGGGTTCTCTGAACCAGATATCAGCCTCTGTGAGCCCAATATCAGCCCCTTCCCTCTTCCTCCCAAGGCTAGTACAGGAGACCCTGGGAGTTATCTACTGATCACTTCAAACCAGGGTTAGATGTCTCTGGGGCTATAAGCTGTGCTGGGATGGAATAAACAATAATGAGCCATCCCTTTAGATCACTGAATATTAGGACTGGAAGGAAGTCCTTATAGGTCATAGGGTCATATTTCAGAGCTAGGAGGGACCTTAGAGGCCATCTTAGAGGCAACACTCTTATTTTACAGACCAGGAAACCGAGACCCAGAGAGGTTAAATGATTTGCTCAGGTCACACATGCAGCAAGTAGAAGAGTAAGGAGATGAACCCAGATTCTTAAACTACAATGCCTCATCCATACCATGTTCCCCACTGGTCCTCTGGAGCCATGTAGAAAGTTCCCAGTGCACCCCATCTGGTCTGAACCTTTTTTCCCCACACTGCGCTTTTGGCAAGTTTGAGAAGCTGTGCCTGGGGCAATGCCCCAGCTCCTAAAGTCTCTCCAAGTGCCGATACTTCTTCCGTAGGACAGACACCTGGTCCTTAAAGAGTACAGGGTCCAGGCGAAGCTGTGAATGCACCAGAGGCATGCGGCCAAACCATGAGGCAAATCTGTTGATGCAATTTTTCAACTGCTGTTCAGCTCTAGGATGCTGGAATGAGTAGGGAAAGAGAAGGGTTAAGACACAATGGTGGGCTCTCCATTTCCCATACTTTTCCCCCAACTGACCCTTCAACAGAAGAGATTTCTATTGAAAAATAACTTCTGGGCATAGAAAAAGGTAGAACAGGGGATGGGGGTGGAAGTGTCTTCTTGGGGGGACTTTAAATAGAATCATAGAATTTCACAGTTGGAAGGGATGTCATTGGCCACCTAGCCAACCCTCATCCCAAAAATGAAGCCCTACTATAACATTCATGAGAAGTCATCCTGTAGTCTCTGCCTGAAGACCTTTCATGAGGAGAACCCCACCCCCCTCCATAGGCAGCCCATTCCCCTTATGGGTAGCTCTCATCGTTAGAAAGTTTAAATCTGCCTCTTTGTGACTTCCCCCCATTGCCTTGTTCCTGGTCCTTCCTGGTATGTCTGGGAACTGAACGTAATACTCTAGGAATGGCCAACCAATATGGAATGCAGCTGGACTGTCCACTCTTTGGTCTTCTCTTAATGTAGCCCAACAACATGTGGAGCCAGATGACCAGAGGTCAAATGGCTTGAGTGGCCTTGGGCCTTAGTTTCCTCACCTGTATAATGAGGGGCTTTCACTATATGACCTATAAAGCCTGAATCTATGATCTTAAGATCTTGCCTCTGATTCACATGGAGCCCATGGCTCACCAAAATCCAAAGGTCTTATCTAACCATGCCTCCCCGCATCTTGTACCTGTGAAATTGATTTTTTTTTTTGAGCCTCAATATAAGCCTCTACATTTACTGCTATTACATTTCATCTAATTAGATTGAAGCCAATACTCTAGCGGCTAAAGTCTAGCCTGTCTAGTGTCATCGAGTGTGTTAACTATTTAATTCTCTCCCAGCTCTATGTCACCTGCAAATTTAATAAACATACCATATCTGCTGTTATCAAAGTCATTGATTAAAATCTTATCAGAACAGAAGGCTGATTCACACATATTTCAGTGCCTGAAAGCAGGAGGATGGATGAGATAATCTTCCCAAGTCCAGATAATTCTGGTGAAGAACCCCACACACACACCTGCCCCTCCTGTATAGCCTGTTTTAGTGAATGGGTATGTCTCCTGCTTTTCCAAACCTTCCCAAAGGGAAGGCCATAATTGCCCTCTCTTACTTGGGTCTCCTGACTTTTAAAGTAGGAGGTTCATTCTATAATCTAATCTCTAATTCCCTTTTTTAGGTTTCCCCAGCTCTCCCCCTTCCACAGTATTCTCTCCTACCCCAGGGTCCTCAACAGTGTCCTCCCCTGTTTCCCACCTGTGGAGAGAGTACCTCCTGGAGCTGCTTCCGCTGTGGTACTTTGATGGGCGGGAGCTTGGTGACTTCAGCCACAAGGAAATTCATCAAGATATCTTCACAGGCCGAGAGTTCATCCACAAGGTCCCTTAGTGGGGCAGGCAGGGAGTGGGTGAAGAGGTTATGGTAATACCTGGGCAGTAGAAGAGACCAAAGTCATCATGTCAGAACCATGAGGACTCTTACAACATAGAATGTCAGAGCTGAAAGGAACCTTAGAATATAGAATGTCAGAGCTGAGAGGGGCCTTAGAACAGAGAATGTCAGAGCTGAGAGTGTCCTTAGAACCTAGGATGTCAGAGCTTGGAGGGTCCTCAGAATATGGAATATCTAAGCTGGGAGAGGCCTTAGAACACAGAATGTCAGAGCTGGAAGGGGCCTTAGAATATGGTATGTCAGAGCTGAGAGGGCCCTCAGAACACAGACTGTCAGAGCTGGGAGGGCCCTGAGAACACAGGATGTCTGAGCTGGGAGGGCCCTTAGAACACAGACTGTCAGAGCTGGGAGGGCCCTCAGAACACAGGCTGTCAGAGCTGGGAGGGCCCTTAGAACACAGGATGTCAGAGCTTGGAGGGCCTTTAGAACACAGGATGTCAGAGCTGGGAGGGTCCTTAGAACCTTGGATGTCAGAGCTTGAAGGGTCCTCAGAATATGGAATGTCAGAGCTGGGAGAGGCCTCAGAACACAGAATGTCAGAGCTGGAAAGGCCCTCAGAACATGGAACGTCAGAGCTGGAAGAGGCCTTAGAACACAGGATGTCAGAGCTTGGAGGAGCCTCAGAACATGGAATGTCAGAGCTGGGAGGGGCCTTAGAGACCATCAGTCCAATCTCCTAATTTTCCAAAGTGGGCTGCGAGCCTGAAGAATGAAAGTAGATTGGGAAGGTCCAAGCCATTGGCCCCATTCCCTGAGCATCTTTCCCAGTGCTTCGCCATTAGTCTCCAGAAGATGTCGCCTCTGAGCTCCAGTCAGTCAGGGCAATTTGTCCAAGCACATAGCTAGGCTTTGGCTAGTACAGTGTTTGGAAGCATTCCAGCTAGCCTGCTTCATTAGGTAAGCTAATGGGATGTGACTCTTAGGGTGTGCCTCACTTTATGCAAACCTGGTATGTAAAACTCCAGATTTATACCAAAGGTGAACTAGGGGCAATTCTTTACTCTATGATTCACTACAGAACTCTCTTAATGCATTTAAAACAGGATTCAATTTGCACGCAGAGCTTTCTGAACATTCCCTACTGCATAAAATAAATGTGGCCTATGGGTAAGGGCTGGAGCTCCTTGACATTTCTTTCTGTGACCGAAAAGCAGCCCCATTGAGCTCTTGTGGGCCCCTCCCTGTCCGGCATGTAGCCTGAACTGGGGCCACACTGGCCATGCCCTCTGCACAGTCCTGCTCCTCCTTCCCATCGAACCACATTCCCTGGTGAAAAACCCAATGGTCCAAAAAAACAAAACCTTCCTGGCTGAGCATCTCCATAGCAACTGAGGCAGCAGACAGTGTGCTCCCTCTCCCAGCCTCTGAGTCTTCTGAAAAGCAGATCAAAAAAACAAGAGCTGGAAGGGACCTTAGAGGTCATCGAGCCAGTCCAACCCTCTCCTTTTATAGATGAGGAAACTGAGGCCCAGGATAGTGAATTGATTTGTCCAAAGTCACAATTTAGTGTCAGTGACAGGATTTGAATCCAAGTACTTCCACTCCAGAGCTAAAGCCAACATTCTTTATATTTTATCATAAGATAAAAGGAACGCTCTCCCTCTCTCTGTCTCTTCTCTCTTTCCCCCTTTTCTCTGTCTCTGTCTCTCCTCTCTCTTTCCTCATACTCTCTCTCTCTCCCCCCTTCCCATCTCTGTCTGTCTGTCTCTGTCTCTCTCCCCTGTTCCTCTGTCTCTCTGTCTTTCCCTCCTTCCCTCTGTCTCTGTCTCTGTCTCTTTCTCTCTCTCCCCCATTCCTCTGTCTGTCTGTCTTTCCCTCCCTCCCTCTGTCTCTCTTCTCTCTTCCCTCTCTCTTCCTCTCCCCCCTCCCAAGGGGCTTTCATCTCCATTAGTCAGCCCCTTAGGTCATAGGATCTGGATTCAAATACTAGTTCTGCCACTTGTCCAAACCTCTAGGACCTTGGACAAGTCCCTTAACCTCACTAGCCTCAGCTTACTCATCCATAAAATGAGAAAATTGAACTAGGTAGCCTCTCCCTTTCCAGCTCGACCATTCTGTTTTCTAGTATGTGATATTCTAAGGTCCTTTCTAGCTCCCAATGCAATGACACTGGGATTCCCACTTTAATACCCTGGCACATTCTGGGTCTCCACAGACCTTTTGTCTCATGGGACAGTACCTGTGGTAGAAGGCAGCAGCTGTGAGGACCACTGAGAACTCATTGGGCCTCTGGTCTGTGTAGCCCCAGGAGCCTTTGGTTTCATCCCAGAAGTGGCTCCGGGTCTGGAAACCCACAATCCGTTCTGGGAAGCTCTGCCACACTACAAAGGCAAAGTTCACCTGTAGGAGGAATTGCAGTGATAAGCTTAGAAGGACTTCCCCAGTGGGCGCTCCCTGAGATGCCAAGGCAAGCAGCAAGGAACGTGTCAGCTCCAGGTTAGATTCCTGAAAGAGCTTTCAGAACCATTAACACCAAGGCAAGTTAACAAATATTTATTAAAGCACCTACTATGTTCCAGGCACTACGCTAAACTCTGGTGGTACAAAGAAAGGCAAAAAAATTTCCTTCAAGGAGCTCACAGTCTAATGGAGGAGACAGCACACAAGCAACTATGTACAATCTAGAACCAGAATGTTTTACCAAGAGAGAGGGTCCAAAATATCCTTTTTCTGGAAATTTTTAAATGAACAAGCTGGTTATTTATCAGGAACAGTATTGGAGGCAAGAGAATGGATTACATGGTTTCTTCAAGTCCTTTAGAACCACAGGCCATTTGTGAGACCTAGAAGGGACCTTAAAATACAGAGTGTCAGAGTCTGGAGGGCCCTTAGAACATAGGATGTGAGGGCAGGGAGGGGCCTTAGGACACAGGATGTCAGAGCTGGGAGGGCCCCTGGAACACAGGATGTCAGAGCTGGGAGGGCCCTTAGGACCCAGGATGTCAAAGCTGGGAGGGCCCTTAGGACCCAGGATGTCAGAGCTGGGAGGGCCCTTAGAACATAGGATGTGAGGGCAGGGAGGGGCCTTAGGACACAGGATGTCAGAGCTGGGAGGGCCCCTGAAACACAGGATGTCAGAGCTGGGAGGGCCCTTGGAACACAGGATGTCAGAGCTCGGAGGGCCCTTAGGACCCAGGATGTCAGAGCTGGGAGGGCCCTTAGAACAC